CTGGGGAGTTTACGCAAAGTGCTTCTCCAGGGTACTGCCCCAGACAGTCTGTTTGGCAGTTCTGGGTGGGTTCCAGGAGACTCCACATGGAATAAGCTCTCTGGTGATTTTTAGTCCCACTAGAGGACTAAAGGAATGCTATATTGAATACTGATATGGAGAACTTGGAAGCTTCATTGGAAAGTATCAAAATAATGAAAAACTTCCTAGGTAGAGGCTTAGAAACAAATTCTTCTAGGGAAAAAAAAATAAGTAGAAAAATTAAATTGGTGACAATGACGTCTTGAAAATGTCATTTAAAACATTATTAGATACAAACATATAAAAGTTGGTGTTCTAGGTTTTAGAAAAAATTATGTAATTTGTTAATATCCCTTCCTTTGACAACTTCAGAGCTTGGAGTAGATGCCTGTCTGTGACGTTCATTGTCGATTTCTACAGTGCACCTTCCTGTCACTGACATTGACAATGTACCTTCCATTCACCTCTTCCCCGCTGACACTGTTGCACTATTTAGGCCCCCACCTCAAGCTGTTCCTCTTGGGCCCTAGAAAGTACTACCGTTGAGCAAGAGTGTGTCATCTTTTTCCCTATAGATATTTAAGACCAGGAGATCTTTTCATTGGTCAAAACTGATTTAAGTGCCATCCTGCCTAGCAGCATAAGCTCAGCTAGCTGGTTCCTTAGGTGCCCTCCTGGATTAATCATTCTGCTTTTCCAAGATGTACGTGGCTGTATGGAACTGGCCAGGAGCTGTCTGGGCCCATACCTGTGGTCTGTAATATGGTCTTCATATCTTTCAGTTGGCAATTCCTTACTGAAAATCCACTGCATGCAACTAAGAGAATATTCTATGGTCTTATTTTTCGTTCTCCATCTATAAAATCTTGCTTTTAGTACACAAGAATAGCAAATAAGAGAAATTTAAATGTAATGTATATAATATGAATATAGTATGCATTGAGAGAGAATTCCAGAAAAACAATTTTCTGTGAGAAGAACAAGCAGAAATGGAAGAGGGACATGCTCAACCAATTCCAAACTACAAAGGTGAAACCCTTAAATAGCCCAACTAGAGAGATTTATCTCGGATCCTGACACAACCAAATTTTAATTTGTGAAAGTAAATCACCTACCAGAAGTCACATTTTCTAAAATTTGAAATGGTGAATTTAGAACAGGCCTCTTATAGTGTGGTCTGAGAACCAGCAGCTTCAGCATCACCTGGGAACTTGTTAGAAATGCAAATTATAAGGAACCTGAATTTCTTAAAATTAGAGCAACTGCTTTCAGTTAAGGCACTATCACTAAAAAGCCACTATACCCATTAATATGCCAACACTTATTACTTATCTTATTACTCAGCTGTCACTTGAAAGAGAGCCTGGATGGAAAGGAAAGCATAACATGGCATATCATATGTCAGATCAGGTTTAAAGTAGAGCAAGGGAAGGAGAGTCCCAAGCAGTCATCCTAAAGGGATGAAAGACAGGCCCAGGTGGGACCATACAGTCAGGAGACTCTGGAAAGGCAGATGCTTTCAGAACACATAGAAAGGGATGCTCAAAGAAACACTGTGTCATCATTACGGTCTTGAGCAGCACTTAGTGACAAATTAGTTGAGGAGATGATGTCCCCTGGCTGCTTAGAACAGACAGTGTCTAAACTGTAAAGGTAGTTGCTGCTGCTGATCAACATTCCACACCTATTTTATACATGCACATGACTCACTTCAAACTAAATGTGGAATAATATACACTTGGGACTCTCTTTGGTACTCCCTCATTATAGCATCAGCAGTTTCTTAAGATGAAATCTACAAATTCAGATCCTGACATTTGCAAGCACCAGTTGACAAAATTTGCAAGTAGAGATAATATGTCTTTACAGTGATCTTCCATGTTGCATTCATAGAGCACATAAATATGGCATCTTACTAAAACATCAAAAAGTTTAGTACCGATATTTTCCAAATTCTGTTAAAGTCCTTAATGACTACAACAATATTTGAAAGCACATAATTTTATATTCAACAAATAAAAACAATATTGAAACCTCTATTTTTTTCAGAGCATCCTTACCATGCTATATACATGTTAACATTTTTACTGTGCATTATATTTTCCAAAGACTTTCTACATGCCTTTTAAAAACTCAATTGAGGTTAAAACTTAACCCACACTGATTTTTTTAAATTATGACATGAACATGCTGTATAAGATGAGATGGGGATGGTAGCAATTAAAGTTTATGTACAAGTTACCACAGAAAAAGGAGTAGCTATTGATTTATTGAGGTATTCCTACTACAGGTAGCAAATGTACAACAGTCCCATTTTACATTGTTTTAACGGTTGACAGGTGACATTTTAATCTCTAACCAACAATAGTAAAAAGATTCAAAATTAAGGTTGACACTTTGTCCTTTAACTTGTTCCAAAGTACTGCAGGGGTTTTACTGCCTGATGTTCTACCATATGTGCAAACTCTAGACACAGCAGGCAGGGTTAAGCAGGATGCCTCTGTATTTTGCCATTCTCTTGCTTCCTGTGGTTTCTGGAGCAATCCTAACTTTAGCTAAACATAACCCTTCTGGGCAAATCATTTTTAGTAAGAGAATTTGCCTCAAAGCCAAGTATCCTGTATGTTGATTACATTTCTGAAGCATTGCAGTCTATGAGATTCATAGAACTCACTGGTTTGCCATTTTGCAGAGTCTTTATGAAACTCACCCAGTTTATGAAAATTTTAATAAAATAAAATTACTTCTCACATAATTTTCAGAATAAAAACCCAAACAATTATGAAAGAAGCAACAGGAAGAACTCTTTCTGAAGCATTTTTTAAATCTAGCCTCTCCCATTAAACGATAGTGATTAACAGCAGATTTTTCAGAAACTTTTCCATATTCAAGTTATCTTTTAATTATAAATTTTATTTCAAGTTACTTAATTTCAATTAGGTTTTTAATTCTAAATCTTTGGTAACAGGCATATTCACTTACTTGTGCCCTCAAGAGGTTAGAATCAGAAAAACCCTTTTAGATTTTATATCCGGAATTATGTTTGCCAGATATGAGAAATAGATATGAGAAAAGAGAGAATACCAACTGCTGCCAGAGTTCATGAAAAGCATATACAAAGGAAAAAACTGTCTTTTTAAAAATATGTAAAACTTCCTCAATTGTCTGTCCCCTTGGGTATTCTGTAAAGTAGAACATTTAGCTCTATATAATTCAAAAAAATCTATACGTAGCTTAGAGAGGAAAGCATAAATCTCACTGGTCTCAGATTCACTTCCTGTTGCTTTCTTTCATTATACATTTAAAGATAATCAATAAAAACTGATTTCTCTTTGTAGGCATTTTCCTGTTCTGCCAAAAAAAATAGCAGTCCCTGCCCTAAAACAAAGAAAAAATAGAAAGGAATGTTTACCATGAGAGGAGAAAATGGAACTGCCTAAGCATTTTTCCTGAGCCAAGTAAAACACAAACAGCAAACCAAATTTATTCTTAAAGAAAAATTTTTAAAATACTCCTGACATTAATTCTTTCTTTAAATCTGTGGTATCGACAAGTTTTCCAACTCTGGATTTATATTTCCACTTTTGACTACACCCCTTTATGTTTCCTAATAGTTTTACTGCATTTCTGTGTAAATGAACATATCACATGCAGGACTTTTGTCAGTGTTGGTCACTGAAGCAGTAAAGACAGGACAGTTACGTCCCCCAAATTGCCTCCCAAGACAGACCAAGATGCAAAACCACAGGAAGAAAAAAAAAAACCAGATGAGAACAAAGTTACATTCAGTAAGGAAATAAAGGACTGCAAACAATTCTATCTCATTTCAAACACAAGACTCTTGGCCACTTGCATTTTCAGCACAAGAATTAAACATTAATTACTTTAAAAATTACTTGAAAGTTTTATATAAATAATTCAAGTGATTCATTTGGGTTTAGCATATAGAGGCTCTCTTGGAACTATTTTAATCTTTTTTTTTCCTTCTTCTGGATTTTTCACTAAAGACTGTAAGAAAACACCAAATGGTAGAGTAACAGACCTTTATGTTGTAATAACATTATGAATATATTTTATAAGTTTTCCAGGCTTCCTACTTCCCTTCACTTTCCTCTATCTATGGAGGTTGTCATATTTCACCACGGCAGACTGTAAATCAGACAAGTTCAGCCAGTCAGGTTGAAGAATGGAGGTCAAAAGCACAATGGAAAATATATAAAGTACAATTAAAACCATATGACCAGAGATATTGAAGCAATACTTGCTGGAGAAAATCCAAGTAAAAATCAAACCTTTTCTGGTGTTAGTGAAACTATCCAGCCCATTTGGAGCAGGCACACATCATTTGCTAATTTTTTTTTTTTTTTTTTCCTACAGCAAGAGCACCCAAGGAAGTTAAGTCCTAACAAGGTAATTAAGCCTACAGCTATCTTCCTAGCACAGTTAAGTTCATGGCTGTTATTAAAAAACTGATCTCTCATTTAAAACTGTAACACTTATTTAGAAATATAGCTTAAGATTAGGCAATTTTACATCCACCAAAAAGTATTAAAGGCTTATGATGACAGTGCTGACTCAAAAACTTTTCCACTTTTCTATGAAATCTTTACTTCTAACGACCTGGATCCCAGTAAGACAAAGATAATCTAATTGCCTGTTGTTGATCATAGAGAAAGAACCTATAAAATCCAAATCGTCTCTGCTACTATATTACAAGCAACCTAGATGTTACACTGTCCCTCACAGGTAGTAGTTAGCAGGACAATGATGTATATGTCTAAGGATGTACAGAAATTAAGAGCTCTTGAAGTTGTAAAGCAATTCCAGTAAAAATCATTTACTTTGGCAATCACCGAAGCCATTCCATACCTATTTTCCCTATGCATTCCAAGTGTCAATTACAATCATCTCTGTAGACAATTGAAACATACTTTTCAATATTGCATTGGGATTCCAGTAGACAACTCAAGTTTAGCAAATCACTTACCCCCCAGAAACTGAATTCCTCCAGCCACTCTTCCCACTGTCCTGGAGATGAGCTCAGACACACAGCAACCCATGAGGGCGGTGAGTGCCACCAGGAGGAGCAGGCCACAACCCAGGCCCGTCACAATGGTACAGATCCTCCACTCTGCGCTGGGTATGCCCTGGAAGGAGGCATAGCGCCCACATTCCTCCACCATCACCATCATCTGCCGACTCTCATCATGCACAGGATATGAGCACCTCCGGAAAGTACCAAAGGACACAGCCTTGCCCAGCTGTGATCCCCAGAGCCAGTAAGGCATAAAGAACCCCACGCAGGAGGTGGCAGCACAAAGGAAAGAGAGCAATGCCCAGATCACCCCAGCACAAGTCAGGCTGGATGCCATCTTTCACTAGATAGGGCAATGAGGACCCAAAGTAAGTGTTCAGGAACTTCAGGCGTGAGCGAAGGTGTGAAACCACCAGGGACCCGCAGGTAATCCACAGTGCTGTAATGTGTCTATTAACAGAATGGGTCTTCCGTTCTACTGGGCATCAACTTCCCACCCTCTGTAGTAAGAACGATGGTCCCTGGTAAAACAAAAATGGGAAATATTAAAGGTTAAAGGATTTTAGAGAAGTGATAAAACTGATTCAGTTGGTCTACAATTTTCAATTAATGAACATTCAAACTTGCCTCAACACTTCAAAAGTGGGAAGAATTGGTGGCGCACTGGATAGTGTGCCGCTTGGGAAGCGCGGCGGCGCTCCCGCCCGAGGGTTCGGATCCCACATATGGACCGGTTCCCGCTCACTGGCTGAGCGAGGTGCTGGGGCAACGCCGAGGGTTGCGGTCCCGTTGCCGGTCCCCGGTCCGGTACGGGGGCAACACTGAGGGTTGCGATCCGTTGCCGGACACGGAAAAAGACAAAAAAAAAAAAAAAAGTGGGAAGAATTAATTCTCTCTGTAAGCTTCTCTAATAATTCAAGTTGTGTCAAACTAGCTCAAAGCTTTTCATGTCTTTATCTCCTGTAAATGCTCTCAAATTAACTCCAACAGCTATTTACTTAAAGAAATGCATGACTTTTATTTGCCAAGCCAGTGAATTCATTTCATATACTCACATTAAAAGTAATGTAGCATTTTTACTGGCAGTAGGCATAATTCAGGATATTAAAATAAAATGAACCATGCCACGGTTTGTTTATTTGGCTTGCAAGTTCATACTCATAGTTTGTTGCAACTTTGCAGGGTCCCTTTAAGGATGCATTAACTCTCTGCATGAGCAAACAAAGTAATTAGAATAATTTCTCACAGTTGCAGAGTACCATAAATTTAACAAATACTATGGACTGTCCAGGCACATAAATTGAACAGGGCTATTATCAGACACTCCCAATACTCATTCAGCAGCATCTGAGAATTCCTTCAGCCTTAACAACTTTGTTCTAGTGTAAACGAAAGTGTGCATGACTTTAAGATTTTCATATTTGCACATTTGATTCATTGATTGCAATCATTTTATTGGCACCATTTCTCCTACCAAATGATGCTCTAACCTGAAAAGCAATCCAAACTTTTAATATTCTGCATCAAACCCCAGTCATTCAAATGGTTGCAGGTACATTTATCTCCACCCCTGCCTTTACAAAAAGAGTTTCTGAATCATTTTCCTCACTTTCCATAAAGAAATGAATACACAGCACAGACCCTACCCACCCATTCACCGTAGAGTTCCATCCCCAGAATTCCTAACTCCAGCTTTCAGGGTCCACAGCAAATCCCACCTTTCTTCACCTCGCCGCGTTCCCAACTCTCACCCCTTCCCTTTTTCTCTCCAACCACCGCCCATCTCCAGTTTTGGATGTCACTCAAGGGGAGCTCAGGCTACTTTTTTTTTTCTTCTTTTTTTTAATCTTGTCAACTGCGGTCAGCGGCTTAAGTTGGTCTATCTGGGCCACGAGGCTGGGGAAGACCAGCAGGGGGTGGCGTGCAGGGGGAGGAGGGCCCTCATCCCCAGCTGGGGTGAGGCACCCTCGCCAAGACCAGCCCGTGTCCAGCCCCCTGCAATTGCCTCACCCACCCACCCCACCCGTAGAGACACACAATGATCCCTCCATTCTAAAAGGGGGAGAGAGGCATTATCCAGCCGGCTCCGGGCGAAGGAGGGGACCAGGATGGGAGGCAGACGCCCACAGCCGACGCGGCGGGCAGGGACAGCCGACCGATCAGCCAAGCTCAGGAAGTGCGGGGCCCGGGAGCAGCCCAACTCCGGCGGCGCCGCGGGGAGCGAGCGGCCGGGCGCCGTACTTACATGGCTGGCGGGCGGCGGCCGCCTTCTCTCCCGGGTCCCGGGCGCACACACAACTTGCTCTCTCTCGCGGGCGGGAACATCCACGGCCAAGACCGCCCTGCCCTTCCTCGCCCCTGTGCCGAACAGCCCGCAGAGACCCGGGCCCGGCAGGAGGCGGAGGGTCCGCTCCGGGGCCGGTGGAGACCCCCGCTGGCGGGCGGCGCGTCTCCGGCGGCGGCTCGGGCGGAGCGCTGTGGCCGCGCGCGGGGCGCCCGGGATCGCACGCAGATGAACAGATCTCCCCTTGGCAGGCGAGGCACGAACCGCCTCCTCCCCTCCGCCGCCCGGCCCTCCTCTCCCGCCTGTCCCCTCCCCTGGCGCCCCGCGGGACCCAGCGCACACAGACCCAGGACGTCCCCGGCGCGCAGGGCGGGGAGGGGGCGCGCCCCGGCTGCCCACGCCCGCCCCGGGGGGCAGCTCCGGCTACTCCCCAAGCCCCCTCCTGCCCCTGCTCGTTGCGTCTCCTCCAGTGGGGTGAGTGGGGGAGGCAGACGACAGAGAAGTAGGGCAGAAAGTTGCTTGTCTTCTCGGGTGCACCCGAGGGACCACGGAAGACGAGGCACGCTCCTGTTCGCTTTTCTGGGTCTGGTATTTGGGTTTTAAGCTCCTGTTTTCCTGCCATCTTTAGAAGACTTGGGTGGGAAGGTGGGCCCTCAAGAATGTAAAATGATCCTTCTGAGCTTTGAGGAGGCTCTTGAGAAGTGGCCACTTTGGAAGGCGGTGAACAAGGCGGGTGTGGACGTGGGAATGTGAGGGCTCGTGGATCCCGTGGGGGCAGCCGAAGGCAGGGAAGACCTCTGGGAGCCGCGCCTAGGACATACCTTCTTTGGGAACCTCTTTCAAGGCATTTCTCTCTCAGTCTTTCTACCCCCCTCCCTCTCTTTCTCTCCATCCCTCCCCCGGATCAATCTTGCAATCTATAGTACCATTTGACATCTTTTCTGAGAAACAATTGATTTTGATTTCCCCTCTGGACTTAAGGACTTTTTTTTTTTTACTTGTTATTTAGCACTAACCGCTTTGGAATTTCAGAGCTAGATTCAGTAAATGACTGTGGGAGTCCCTGCTGAAGAGAGTATTTTAAGAAACTTGTCATTTGGGAATAGCAGTTTTTGAAGTAGATACTTTCCCAGATATAGTTTTTGTTATGTGCCTTTTCAAAGTAGTTGAAAGTAATAAATGGGTAGGTACACATTTCACAGTAAAATTTCAAATTGCACCATCTTAATTAGCCATGATGGTGTACATTTTTTCCACAACTACAGCTGGAGATGTGTGTTCTTTTGTTATCATTTTGAAAGGCTTTAAGTGATTGGCCCCAACTGTTTGGAGATCATGGACCTTTTTAAGAATGAAACTGATGAGCTTCGCAGAGGGGCGGGCGGGGGGGGGGAAGTGCACACATGTATTAAGATTTATCACAGTGGTTCTCAAGGGGAAAAAGGAAAAAATGCCCCCAGGAGACATTTGATGAGGTCTGGAGATAGTTTTGATTATCATGACTGGGGAGGTGCTACTGGAATCTACTGGGTAATGGCCAGGGATGCTGCTAAATACAATGCACTGGACAGTCCCCAGAATTACCCCACCCCAAATGTCAATAGTGCTGAGATTGGGAAAACCTGTTTCAATGAAATCTCAGATGGTTCCCTAGCCCTTTGACACCCATCTGTGAATCCCAGGTTCAGAATCCCGTACATGTGTTTTTTGTTTTGATTTTAACTTGTTTTAATTCTTCTTGTACAAATCACCAGTTACTGGGCTCAGTGACAGCATAATAATGATTGGCCTAACTTCCTGTTAGGTACCACACCCTTAGTTATAACACAGAGGCTTCATATCTATATAATATGAAGGTAGGTGATATCGTATAAAGAAAAAATAATAATAGTGAGATTCAGACTCACCCTACACAATCCGCTGGGGAAATTGGTCTAGGACACTTTCTCAAACTTGGAGGAGCATTAAGCACTTGAGATGGATGGCTGGGGAAATATTAATGCTAATCATGGTTACCACAGATTGAGTCTTTGCTATGTTTAGTCAGTACACTAAAGATACTTAATAGAATACTTTATCAAGTTCCCCAAAAAGAAAGGAAAAAGCTATGAAGAAGATATAGTTATTATTTTACAGAGAGATTAAGTAATCTGTTCAAGCACTTACAGCTAAAAAGTAGACTTTTAAAAATCTCATTATTTGCAGTCTATCAAACAGAGAGATTGTGCCTAAGATGAAAAAGTAAGATAGACGAAGAGGCTGAATTTTTAAGAAATCTATCAGGATACAGTATCAATTATTTGTTAAAGCATAATGTGTTATATACTGGGACTAAAATTTCTAATTTAAGTGAGTGAATTTAGACAAATGGTGACCTTTCTGAGTCTAAGTTATCACATTTGTAAAAAGAGGTTGGAATAAATGATTTCAAATATTCTTTTCACGACTTTCATGATTATATAGGTTCTATTATTTTTGAGAAGTTTAGGGATCATCTAATCTTGTTCAAGGACATAATTTTACAGATGAAGAAATAGAGGTTCAGAATACTTCAGGTGTCTTACTCAAAGCTGAGCCTAGAATCCATGTATCTTGATTTCTCTTTTCATTCCACCATGTAATTATCTTCCCAACCTATAAAATCTTCTGAATTACTCCTTGGGTTCTTGCATGCAAACTTTATAGGCAACATGCATTATAATATCTTTAAAACCCTTGTATTAAATTTGCACCTTCAAAGGGTCTTTAAATTATTTCACAGACTGAAGTTCCCACACAGCAGATGCTGCTTGTAACTTCTATTTCAGTTTTGGGTTTCCAGTAATGTTTAGATAGTAGTCCCATTGAGTCATAAGATGAGATCATGAATGTAAAAATATGTGGAAACCTGTAAAGCATTATGACAACACTCTTGGTTGGCTCCCCAAAAGTAATTCCCAACTCCCTCTCCCTTGCTTACCTAATATTCTTGTAGCCTCCCTTAAAGCTAGTAGTGGCCCCTCAACCCTGTCCTAGCCAGTGAGTCTGCTAAGAAGCCCTCTGGGGAAGATTGTAGTCTCTGATAAAATAAGGAAGCATGAGAGAACAGTTCTTTCACCATCCTGGTTGTATTTGGACACATTCTTGAAGGATGAGATGTTTGGAGCTGTGGCAGCCTTCTTGTAACCACAAGGGGGGGGGTCGCAGAGACATAATCTCAGCACCCTAACTTTGTGGAGCTGCTCACCTTCTGAATTTTTTTGAAGTAAATTTTAGATTGTTAATATGGTTTAAGTCACTGAGTTGATTTTTTTTCTTTTAGCTGAAAGCATTCCTGGTTGACAAAGTGCTATACAGAGAAGACATATGCTCAATGACAGGAAATACACATTAGTCAACATTGTACCTCAGTGCTGGCAATAATAGATAGGTACTCAATAATTGAACATTAACTGGGGGATTTAATGAACAAATCAATATCATTGCGATTATTATCTTGTTCTAGTGCAGCCTATTAATTTTTAAACAAATGGAGTATGTTATGTGAAATTAAGGAAGTAGTATGATGGTGGAATATAGGAAACATCATGGAATCAACCACTTCTGACCATTAAGGAGAGGTTGCCATGGGATTTCTTCAGTTCACATTTGTGGCAACCACTATAGTTTGGCTGATACAATATCATTTCCGATTCCCTTCTTCCACATCTTTCTTGTATAGAAGCTAAAATTTCCATTTCCCAGCCTCCCTTGAGTGTCCATGTGACAGCCACTGAGGGGTGCTGGTACCTTCACACCCACTTCCTCTTTCTTCCAGTCCAGAGAATGAATGTGATAGCACCTTGCAGCACAGCATCCATCTTCCAACCATGAGGTGACCGGCATGAGGACAAAAGCCAACACGGTGAGAATGATGGAGTAAAATGGTGAAAAGGATCTGACTCCTCGATATCTTTGTTAAGCTGCTATATTATCCTTAGACTTCTCTGGGGTGGAGACCAATAACCCTTACCTGTTTAAGTCACTGTCACCACTTGCTAGACTATTCACACTAACTGTTCTCTTGCAGTCAAGGAGCCAGCACCATAGCAAAGGGGATTAAACACAGAACGTGGAGATATTAAGCAGAGCAAAGAGAGGACAGATTAGTGCAAGGGAGAATTCACTCCCAAGCTGATGGTGGCTCTGGCGACCATTCATTGTCTACATGTATATTCAAGAAGATGTACCCTCCTTAAAGTGTGGCAATGGAAAGAGGAACAGCTATGAAAATAGTTTATAAAATGTTTATTCTTAAAGTCTTAATTTTGAGAGAGAGAGAAATTCTCAGCATTATAAAATGGCCTGATAAAAAAATTCCCCTTTACAGACCCCCAAGAGAGACGTGCAGGAAGGGAGGAGGCACAGAAGAGAAACAGCCCATAACAGAAGAGAGAGGGCCAGGGAAGAGGTCTTTTCCTTAACTGCTCCTGGCTGTGGAACTCATCAGCTCTTTATCAGTGAAAGAATATACCATTTGTTCCTCAACATAGGCAGCGAGCTATACTCACATAGGCTCCACCCGCTGAAAAACGACAATCACAGTTGTCAGTACAGAAGCAGTGAAAGAGGTTTAAAATAAACAGTTTGAGATCATGGTAAGTTCCTCCTTTTTGCCATTTTCTTCCTTCCTTCATTCCTAAATTACCCTTTCCCCCCATGAATCCCTTCTTAGGAATAATTTAAATAGATATGGCTATGTTATTTTACTGCACTGTGTCCACTCATTCCTAAATTACCCTTTCCCCCCACGAATCCCTTCTTAGGAATAATTTAAATAGATATGGCTATGTTATTTTACTGCACTGTGTCCATCTTCTACATAGGACAAAATCTCAGGGGACAAGTGACGTCTCAGTTTCCTGGTCTCCATTTCAAGTAATCTGTGAGAGAAATAGTGTATTGCTTTTAGTATGTTAATTCTCCTCTGTGTATACATATATTTACCATAGCTATCCTAACATCCTGTTAAATTAGGGCTGCCTATTCCATTTTCTATGAACTTTTTTTCATATATTTGATTAACTCAAGACACCCTCACCCTGCAATTATGTACAAATTCTAAACACAGTGATTTGTATGACTATTCCTCAGAAACTCTCACAGAATTAAGGTGTAGATAGCCTGTGACCTGTTCCCAGTGGTGCTGTCTGCATTATTTATTTAAAGTTTGCAAATTACTTTGGAAAGATAAAGTGCCATGTAA